GTCCGCAACCCAAGCAAGTGCCCTTGACCGGAATTGAACCTGGGACCCTTCAGTCTGCAGGTCAATGCTCTTTTCACTGAGACAAACCAGCTAAGGCTGCAAAAACATTTTTAATACCAGCTGTCATCTTGAAGATTTGTGAAGAGTGGGTGATACAGAGAAAGGTGGGGTCTGGCAATCATTGAGAGAGTGCTTTCATGTGGAAGGCTCACTGCCTTCTCTTTATTGGGATTTCAGTGAAGAATGTACCAGTACCAGAAAGCTCATCTTCTAGGCCAGCATAGGGTGCAGTGTAGGGGGAGTGAGTCTAGACTAATAGACTAAACGAGTGGTCAGGAAACCATGGCTCGCGAGCCACATGCAGCTCTTTGGTCTCTTGAATATTCTAACGCCATTTCTTCAAAATAGACTCGCCCAGACTGAAAACCGACTTCTGCACGTAGGCCACGATGTTTCGATCACACTGTACGTGTGTGCCCGAACATGGTATTTTGTGGAAGAACCACACTCAAAGGGGGCCAAAGAGCCAAATGTGGCTTATGAGCCTCTGTTTGCCGACCACTGGACTAGACTAATAGACAGCATAGCACCAAGGCCTGCTCCCAAGGTTTTCTCTGTGGCATCCCCAATCCTGGATCTAGCGAGATGTTGGGGGAAGGAGTAGTTGAAAGGATCTGTTTGAGGGTGTGTGTGTGTAATATTGTAAAGGTATTTTCTGGGAAAGATAAAGGAGGCTTGGCTTTATCAAGACTCTTCTGAGTCTCTTTTCCCACCCTCCAGCATAGATTGAATTGAGCCCTGAGGGCCCATGTGGATCTAAATCATCTCCTTGATAACTCAGACAATCACATTGCTATCTTCCTGGTAGTTATTATATGTCTGGGGCCCAAGAACACAACCAGGTGCTATAAAGCCCCAATTATAAAACTCAGCTTGTTTTTAAACTTAATAATCAGAGAAGTTATTTAATAAATTGACATTTAAATCAGTCAAACCATTTCATTTCATATTAGAAATAATGTTATATATTGAGTTTACAGAGCTCAAAAGAGTAATATAATTTCATACGATTAAATTAGGGTTTTAAAATGAGTTAGACTGGTCAAATAATATGGTCCCTGAATGGAAAATTGGAAAAATGGAAAACCAGTGTTACATTCAAATGTTGGCCCACTGTGTGGCAGGCATTACTACCCAAGGCCAAGGTTTCCAAGGTGTACTTGATTTGGGCAAACACGAATTGACCTTCCACTTCCCTCAATGCCAGCTAGTCATAACTGGATCTAATAGAAATTATGTTGAGATTTTTAAAAACCTAAAAGTTAGCTATTCTTATTTTAAGAATTTTTTTTTTAACATTTTCATTAATTTCAGAGAGGAAGGGAGAGATAGAAACATCAATGATGAGCGAGAATCACTGATTGGCTGCCTCCTACACTCCCCACTTTAAAGAGCCCCACACTGGGGTCAAGCCTACATGTGCCCTGACAGGGAATTGAACCATGACTTCCTGGTTCATAGGTAGACACTCAACCACTGAGCCATGCCAGCCAGGCATAGTCAATAATTCTTTATTTTTTTCCCCCATTCTGAAAACACTATGTTCACAATTAGGGGGAAAAAAGTGTGGAAGAGTAGAAAGGAATCACACATATTTTGGTTGCAAAGGAAAGCCACCATGGACATAATTTTCCAGCATAATTTCCCAATGTGTGGGTGCCTTCATATGAGGGGGATGCTTAGCCAGAGGCAGTGTGACTGGGTGCTACCAGGTCAGAAACACAAGGTCTCTGTTGAATTTCTGTGTTGAAACCAGCCTGAATGCAAGCTGGGTCAGAAGAGGATAGCTATGAGGACATGAAAGCAGTTTCTTCTGATGCTATCTGTGAAGCTGGAACAACTGTTTTGCATAGGGGGAACACGTGTATACTTCGGGTCAGGCACATGAAAACCAGTGAACTGAGATGTTACCTGCAAGATAAGCCTTTTCCCACTTCTGTGTGAACTTGTTCTATCTTTCCTTGTCATGAGAATAGTGTTGGAACATACTGCATGTTTGGTTCTCTCTGTTGTTGTGTCTTTTTTTTGGGGAAGAGACGCAACTTAATTTATATCCCTTCTGTAATTCTAGTAAACACTATCAAAAGTTATATGCTAGTGCCATTGGATAGTTTACCTCATTGGAGAAATTAGAAAGGAAATCCCAAGGGAAATCCGGAACAAACTATCTATAGTGCAAGTTCAGTTTTATTTTCCCCCCAATTGATTGCAAAACAGTCCTTTGGTCAAATATAATAAAAACAAATGGCTAGAAGAATTAAAAATTCAACCCCTAACTGACTCTAGAATTGCTATGAAATTCCTGACTGCTTTTTTTTTTTGTTTCTGTACTTATTGTGACCCAGACTTGCCAATATTTGAATGTAGCAGCAGGGTAGTTGTCTTCAAATTTTCTACTCAGTAATCATACTTATTTGACTAGTCCAACTCATTTTAAAAGTCCTAATTTAATTCCATGAAATTATATTACTCTTTTGATCTCTGTGAACTACAACCTTATAATAAATATAAGCAAGTTTAACAGGGCATAAACTTTGGAAATATGGCCCTATACTAATTTGTCCATCTGTGCTGATTGTTTTAAGGAAGGTGTAGCAATGATCAAAAGTCCCTTATCTCAGGAAGTGATGTAGGGATAGAAAATAACACTAACAAATTATTTATAGTAATAAATAATAGAAAATAAAAAGAGTAATGAGATAGAAAATGGGAGGAGAATGGGGCTATTTTTAACAAATATATTTTTATTGATGTCAGAGAGGAAGGGAGAGGGAGAATGAGATAGTAACATCAGTGATGGGAGAGAATCATCGATCGGCTGCCTCCTTCACACCTCCCACTAGGGATTGAGCCCACAACCTGGGCATGTGCCCTTGACTGGAATCAAACCCAGGACCCTTCAGTCCTTAGGCCAAGGCTCTATCCACTGAGCCAAATTGGCCAGAGTGAGAATGGGGCTATTTTAAATTTACTATTCAAGAAGTCTCCCTGAGAGATATGCATATATGTCCCAAATGATAAGGAGTCAGATCTGCAGGAAGAACATTTTGGGAATACAGCAAGTGCAAAGGTCCTATGGCAGAGGTATTCTGTGGCACCTTCAATGACAGAAAAAGAGCTAATGAGGCCTGCAGAGAGCAATACCGAAAGTAAGCTGATGTGGCCGAAGGCAACTTTGGGCTTCCTGTCACTTGATAATAGGCAAATGAAGAATAAATTAGAGAAGGGTAGATAAGGAAAATGGTATCATAGGCAGCCTGAAAGTGAAATTGTGGGAACAGGTGAGCTGGATTGCAACTGGAAAACATGTAGAACCCAGGAAAGGCAGGAATTTCATCCATGACTTAAATAAAAAAGTCCTGCTATGTGGAGAGGAGGCAAGAAAGACTGTTTCTTTATGGGGAAGATGATTGATGTGGAGCCAGAGAGGGTTTTGGAGAGAGGGGGAGTCAATAAGGAAGGCTTGGAGGGCAGTACTGGAGTTTTCAGCAGCCGTTGGTACCTGAAGCTGGGGAGGATTTGATCACATTTAACCCATAAAGCACTCTGAAAAATCTTCACATTGATACCACTTTAGAATTTCAACACAGAACGTAAGACATTCATGATTGAACAACTGACTTCCTGCAGTAGGAAAAGGAGTTCTTTGAATAGCGAATGTTTCAGGGCCAGGAAGACCTTTCTTTACATTGCCATCTTGTTATTTCCATGGATGGAAAGGTGGAGATAGGCTGGTGTCCTTACCTGAGTGGTTTAAAAAGTTTATCTTCTGGATATTGCACTTCCTGTTATAATTTCCAATCAGCTTTCCATCCTCCTAACTCTCCTAAAATGTTGTAAAGGTCATTAAAAAAAAACCAAACAAACCTGATATTAGATACAGAAAGATTTCAGGAGCAGACAGCCTGAAGTGATTCTTCTTAGAAAAAAAATATACCACTGTGTAGTCCAAATTCACCCAGCCAAACTTGGAGTAACATTTAGTGTAGGTTAATCCCTGGGGGTAGAGGTAGGGGTGGGGGAGAGAACATAATTTGGAGTTACACACACTTTTTAAAAAAAAATATATTTTATTGATTTTGTACAGAGAGGAAGCGAGAGAGATAGAGAGTTAGAAACATCGATGAAAAACTGCCTCTTGCACACCCCCTACTGGGGATATGCCCGCAACCAAGGTACATGCCCTTGACCGGAATCAAACCCGGGACCCTTCAGTCCCCAAGCCGACGCTCTACATTGAGCCAAACCGGTCCCGGCCACACACACTTTTATGGAATAATATGCAGTGGGTCCTTGGGTTACGTCGGAGATCCGTTACTGTGGTGACATAATGCGATTTTCACCGTAAGTCAGAACCTACCTATATGAGCCCCTACATCACTCACATGGCGCACCTACACAGCAGTAATGAAGTGAAATAGTAAAAAAATTTAAAAGAAAGATAACAATTTCTGACCTTGTGGTAAATAAATAATAAAAAACATAAAGCACATATACATACATCGAAATGACAGAACTTTTTTTTTTTTTTAATAAATAAATGGGAGATGGGCCATGTAACCACAAAATGACATAGGTCGAGTCCGACGTAACCAGAGGACTACCTGTACTTAAACGTTTAGAGCTAAGAAGGCGCAAACACCGCTTTGACCCTTCACTTCTTTAGCGGAAGAGGAGCTGGGGGTGATGTAACTTGTCCAAGTCACACAGGTAGTTAAGAGCAAAGCTGGAACTGGAGCTGGGATTTGTCTAGTGACTTTTAGTTCATTGCACTTTCTACTTTTATCATGTGGCTCCTTAGCCCTGAGGACTCCAAAAGCTGGACCCACTTTGGAAAGTAGCCTTTTTTCTTCTCATTAATTTTGGGGGTGGGTTATATTTCAATGACTAATTGGAATTGAGAAATGTCTTGTGTTTGTTGTGTTTTGTTTGGCATTTAGGTTTTCCCATGACATTAGTTCAGGCTGAAGCCCTAGACAGAATCTGTGACCTGGACCTCGTGATCACTCTGAACATTCCATTTGAAACACTCAGAGATCGTCTCAGCCGACGTTGGATTCACCCTCCTAGCGGGAGGGTGTATAACCTGGACTTCAACCCACCTCTCGTGCACGTAAGAATATACAAAGTGCTCTCACAAACTAACAGGACAGAACCAAGACATTTTAGTTTTGAGAAGTGGATAAAGATAGGAAGGGACTATTGAAAAATGAGCAAATATACACAGCCAACCAATATTTAAGAGGCTTATTTACTAGTAGTTAAGGAATATAAATTAAAGTTTATAACATCAATTGCTGAATGGAATTTTAGAAAATTAAAACATTAAGGATGCCTTGCTAGCTAGAAGTTCAATAAAGTTCCAGTGAGTCTTGCTCATTTGGGCTGCGCACTAGTCTCCATTAAAAAAAAAAATGATATTCTTTTTAAAAAAATATATATTATTGATTTCAGAAAGGAAGGGAGAGAGATAGAAATATCAATGATGAGAGAGAATCATTGATTGGCTGCCTCCTACATATCCCCTATTGGGGGGATCGGGCCCGCAACCCGGGCATGTGCCCTTGGCCGGAATTGAACCTGAGACTCCAGTCTGCAGGCCAATGCTCTTATCCACTGAGCCAAACTGGCTAGGGCCTAGTCTCCTTTTTAAGTCTTCTTTTTAAATGTCAGTAGCTCTGGAATTTCTTTATCAGATTTCTTTCTCTTTTCCATCCCAAGAAGCTGCCAGCAGGGGAAAACACTGGGTGGGGAAGAACGTTCTGAAACGCATTGACGTTTAGCACAGATGCTTCGCATTTTGGCTCTGCCTAGATCTGCTTTTGCAAAGATTCTCATAAAATTTGAGAAGATTTAACACTTTCCAAAGACTGGGTTTCCCAAAAAGAATGCCTGCAGTTACATTGCCGCTTCCAAAGACGGCAGTAAAAGTGCTTGTCTGGGCCAACTCGACCAGCCCCTGGGGTCTGGGAGCTCCCCCAGAAGAACAATGCTGCTGCCCTAGATCCTCCTGCTCTTTCCAGAAGCAGCTGTATTTGCGGGTGCTCTGAAGACCTGGAAATGACTTCTGAACTTTGCAGCCAAACGTATGAAAAAAGAGGGGGATATAGGTGATGTGTAGCCTCTCCCCTCCCCATCGCTCGCCTGTTGTGTCAGGGTAGCAGCAGAGGAACACACACGTGGCTCACCAATAAGTCATCAGTGTAAACCCTACTTCATAAGAGCTGACATTAAATCTTCATGTACCAAGACCCTGAGCTGTAATGGAATTGTAGCGAGTCTCAAATTTATAGCCAGTTTCTGATTATCCAGTTGAGTTGCCTGAGCACTTTGGTTCTGCTCTAGCCTGCCTTTTGACAGATTTATTTCTTTCGACTATCTCCCCTGGTGCAAAATGGCCATGGACTTGGGAGGCAAAATTCTGATCTGTCCAATTTGCTATTTCTATGTAGGATTCCTAAGGAGGTTAAAATACATTAAAAAATCAGGGTTTTTTTTTTTTTTTTATTGTCATTTTTCAGTTCTCAGAATGTTTGTTCCTGATTATCATGAGTGTATGATTCATGCCTATTTTAATTTACATTTAGTAAGAAAATTCTTTTTTTAATCCTCTCCCAAAAATATTTTCCCCATTGATTTCTAGACAAAATGGAAGGAAGGGAAGGGGAGAGAAACATCAATGATGAGAGAGAGGCACATTGATCTGCCATTCCTCCACATACATTCCGACTGGGCCTGGGATTGAACCTGCAACCTAGGCAGGTTCCCTTGACTGGTAATCCAACCTATGGCCCTCTGGTCTCCGAGCTGATGGCTTAACCACTGAGCCAAATCGGCCAGGGCTAACTTACCTTAAGATAAACCATTATCTGATTTAGTAAAATAACCTGTGTGAGAGTGCTCTTAGAAAAGCTACATGATAGAATTTGAAAGTTAGCTGAGACAGGACTGAAAAGATCTTCTTGGTTAGCGCTTTCTCTGAGTAAATGAATTGTTTCCTTGAAACAGTTCATTTTCTATATTAAGAACTCAGGCTTTAGAGAGCATCTCCATTTTGTTGAAAGGTTGCTTGTTGGCAGAAGGAGGCTGCATGGAAATTTAAACTGAATTGATGGTATCATTTATCAACAGCACAGGAACCTGTTTGGAAAGATCTGAGAAGTTAATAAAGATTTAATGTCAGCTCTCATGAAGTAGGGTTTACATGCTGCTAAGAGTGCCATTTCTTTTCAAGTGCCTTCCCTGTTACCATTGGTGCCCAGGTATAACCATTATGTGGTGGGAATCAAAGGTGAAGACATGGTTTTCACAGGAAAGTGTTTTACTATGGAATGGCCTGACCGATGCCCATATTAACTGGTTTCTCTGGCATTTGTAGGGGGTTGATGATGTCACCGGTGAACGGCTGGTCCAGCAGGAGGACGATAAGCCGGAAGCAGTCAATGTCAGGCTAAGACAATACAAAGAGGTGGCCAAGCCTGTGGTTAATCTATACAAGTGAGTGCGCTTCAGTGTTTTTGTGGTAGTTGGCCAATTAGAGAGGTCTGGAGCCTTGTGGGAAGGGCCTTGGGTAGAAGTGGGGGGATGTTTCTTTCAGCGAAATAAGCCCTAAAAGCCTAGCACAGTGGTAGGCAAACTGCTGCTCTTGAGCCACATGTGGCTCTTTGGCCCCTTGAGTGTGGCTCTTCCACAAAACACCACAGCCTGGGCCAATCTATTTTGAAGAAGTGGCATTAGAAGAAGTTTAAGTTTAAAAAATTTGGCTCTTCATTGGCTTAAGGACTGGAAGGTCCCAGGTTCGATTCTGGCCAAGGGCATGTATCTTGGTTGCGGGCACATCCCCAGTAGGGGGGCATGCAGGAGGCAGTTGATTGATGTTTCTCTCTCATTGATGTTTCTAACTCTCTATCCCTCTCTCTTCCTCTCTGTAAAAAATCAATAAAATACATATTTAAAAAAAATTTGGCTCTCAAAAGAAATTTCAACCATTGTACTGTTGATATTTGGCTCTGTTGACTAATTAGTTTGCCGACCACTGGCCTAGCACATTCCCAGGATGAAATGCTGGAGTTGTTTGTGGGAGACAATGTCCAGTACAGGCTCTGACACCTGATCATCCCTGTCCAGTTGGAAATTGCATCTAGACTTAATGTCAAAATGTAAAGCATTATTTCAGCCATTTAAAAAGGAAAATGAAAATGCCACACACAAATATCTTATTCGGATATAAGATTAGAAGGGACTTTTTAAAAATATATTTTATTGATTTTTTTTTTTTTTAGAGAGGAAGAGAGAGGGATAGAAAGTCAGAAACATCGATGAGAGAGAATCATTGATCAGCTGCCTCTTGCACACCCCCTACTGGGGATGTGCCTGCAACCAAGGTACATGCCCTTGACTGGAATCGAACTGGGACCTTTCAGTCCGCAGGCCGACGCTCTATCCACTGAGCCAAACCGGTCTCGGCTAGAAGGGACTTTTGGCCTAGATGTGTCTGGAAGGAGTTTTACAAAGAAAAGCTAAAACTATAAGTTGTGGATTACAAATTCAAATGGGTAAAGGGGCCAGGCAGGTCCTGGAAATGAATGTCAACAGAGAGGGTGGTGGGGGGGTGGGGGAGGTAGGAGTGGGGGTATGCAGGGTCAGTTGAGTGACAGTTGAACTGTGTGGCTTCTATGCAGTTCCAGTCAATTATCACCACAGGGATCCCCCAGGCTCCGTGTGACCAGTGATTCCTGTTTTCCAAGAGAAGCAGACATCTGGCTCTTGGGTGGGAAAATTCCCGGTTTTTATATTAGCAACAATGAAACCCGTCTGCGGATCTGCATTCTGAACAGCAGTGGACAGCTTGTGCTGTGATCCATTTCTGGCCTTGTAGCCTCCAAACAACTTAGCCATCCTTTAGGTCAGAGGTTCCTGATCAGATTACTGTGACTCCTTCCATATTTTACCATCATGGCGGTAATTTGGGTTTTAGAGTACCAAATTTTGTCCGTGGTTCCCTTTTGAGAAATGTGTCGTGAGGCAGACTTAGGATTGTCCCCAAAGAGTAATGCTCTTCGATATGTTTTAAAGGGGAGGAGAACAGGGGGCACTGTGGCCAGCATGCCAGAATTGTGAAAGCTATGGCCTTGGTTAGACCCCACAGTGGGGGGTACTGATCACACGGGAAGGGGTCATTTGGGCACTTTGCAGCGTGGGATAGAGACTGTACAATGGTGCTGGCATTGTACCTACTGGGCTTTGTTTTTCAGGTCCCGAGGAGTGCTCCACCAGTTTTCTGGAACGGACACTGACAAAATCTGGCCCTGTGTTTACACGGTTTTCTCGAACAAGATCACACCCATTCAGTCCAGAGAAGCATGCTGAGCCTGGCCAGGGGAAGAACTCGGAAGATGTGATTTCTCCCCACAGGTGTTTCTGTTGTATGTGTAGTGTGGTCCCCAGTAGAAGCCAGCTGACATAGCTTGCAGTATCTTTTCTAGTTTAAAGGATGAACTGATGTGAAGACTGACGAGTGAAAGGAGGCCACGGAGAGGCTGTCCTCTGCCCTTTGGGAAGAAGGGTCGCCTGCACACGTTGAAGATGCCTCTGCACCCGCCCAGCAAGCCCTTCGCAAGGAAACAAGGACAGGCTGGATTTCAAATGCTGTATAACCCAAGCTCTAGCTGATTTCTGACCTTCATGTTGCCATAGTGGCAGCCTTTTTACATGTGGTGGTGGTGGTCTCTTGGTTCTCCCCCACCCCCTAATGGCTGTTGAACCATAGCACCAGTGGCCTGAGAATGGCCAGAGCTGTAGGCCAGGCTTTGTCCACGTTCGCTGGTAGATCCTCCCCTGGAGACAAGGAGGTTGAAGCCAACTGCTCGCAGTGGTCGCTTCTCTGACTTTGAGTGACTGTACCCACAACTCATTTTATTTTTTATTTTTTGGTTAAGAGAGGCATCTCCTTTGCATCCATGCTCCCTAGAAGCTCTGCTCTTCAGACATCCTGGAATGAAAGGATTTGGCTCCTGCTATTTTTATTAGATGGTTGCCTCCCCTCCCTTTCTCCCTTCAGATACTTACTGCTTTTAGCCCGCCGAGATTCCTTTGTAAGAGCGGAGAGCAAGGGGATGATGTCAGATCACCTGATGCACCAGAACTGAGCTCTTTGAGGGTCTACTTTACACTGCTGATCTGACTCGCATGGGAGGGCACTGTTCCTTTTTTGGCGGGGGGGAAGGAAGGGGGTGATAGTCCTTATAAATCCTCAAAGTAAGAAATACTCATCTACATAAATGTTAAAAGATCATATCTATGTACTAGATGTAATTAAGACCATAGGGAGTTACTGGACTAAAAGAATTGTTTACTTTTTATTCAAGATTTAAGAAAAAAAGTATTTTGAAAATGCTGCTAAATGTTGACGCCGACCGTGTTTTTCTCCCGTGAGTGAGGTGTTGGCGAAGGGAGTGGAGCCTGTGGGGTTGCCGGAGCACGTTGCACTAGCTGTGCCTAGACTAAGGACGACAGCTTTACAATGACGAGAAGACAAAATCTTAATTTTTTTTCTATTCCAAAGATTCTATAGGGTGGCCATAAAGTCTAAAAAGACAGACAACACTATTTTGTCATTCGCTGTAATATAACATCAATAAATCACTTGTTAATGCTTTGCTTGGTTTTCAGACTTGGTGGCCACCTTGTATAATTCTTGCTCTCCTCTGGGAAGAATAATGAAGTTTATTCCTGTTGCCTTAAAAAAATATATCCCTCTTCATGCATTGTGATTTTCCCCATCAAGGGTCCTTTACCGTTCATGGGAGGGCCTTCAGTGGACTTAGCGCCTTTGGCCTCTTTGGGAAAGGGAAGGAAATGACCTGATCCCTGATTCCATCTTTCTTCATCCTTCACTCCCATCTCCCTTCCAGGAAATAACAACTACAGCCTGTGACACTGTGTCCCACGGTGTTGCTGTTTCTGAGACTGCCCACCAACCAGGCTGGCCTTTTGCTAGGTGAGACCAAAAAAAGTCACACACCTTTTCCATGGTCTTTGGAAGACGATGCTTGTTTCATGCTCAGTGGTCTCAAAAAAATACATATTTCTGGTTTTCTTCAACACTCCTTCAATCATTTTGTAAAAAAAAAATTTGAAAATTTGAAAATATTTTGTGAAAAGTAAAATCCAAGGGACAGCTTTTCTTTTTTAAAAATAACTTTTAAAAATATTTTATTGATTTTTTACAGAGAGGAAGGGAGAGGAATAAAGAGTTAGAAACATAGATGAGAGCGAATCATCGATAACTGCCTCTTGCACACCCCCTATTGGAGATGTGCCCACAACCAAGGTACATGCCCTTGACTGGAATTGAACCCGGGACCTTTCAGTCCGCAGGTCGACGCTCTATCCATTGAGCCAAACCAGTTTTGGCAAGGAACGGCTTTTCTTAGTTTCTATTCTAAGGAGCCCCCAACACAGCTCCTTTACCGTTACGCAGAAATTGTTTGGATAGTCTGAGATTCCTCCCTTTTCTCACATGCTGGTTCTAACCAGCTCTCAATTCACTTTCTCTCCATTATCCTGACAGAGTCCCACTTGTTTAGAACTTGACCGTTGCTATGTTTAATACCCATTAACTTTAATGCAAGCATTAAATAGGTACCACTTATCAAAGGCCTACCGACTGACGTGCAGTTTCAGGGCCTTTAGTTGGGACAGAGATAGGTTTACAGCTGTTCATGGAAAATAACACAATAATAAAAAATGCAGGATCAAACTTTCATGCCCTCACAACTGTGACCCACACTGCAGTTCATCTTTCCAGCATCCTAGGAGATAGGCACAATCCCACATTTATAAGAGAAGGCAAGGTCAGAGAGGTGAGGGGTGTGGCCCAGGCCCCTGCTGCCAATAAACTGTAGCCAGGACTCAAGCTCAGGTTTTCCTGACTCTGCAGCCGGAGTTTGCTCCTGGATGTCAGCCATCTGTTTTCTGAGAGAGCTTGCTTGTTTTTTTTCTTTTATTTAAGAGTGGCCTCACATAAGAAATAGTCCCCTAAGTGACATTCCACATGGTACTGTTCTTAGTTTTCCCTTTGCTTACGCAAAGGAAGCTGCTAGAGGAAAGTCTGAGCCTTGATACTCCTCAGAAACGATTCATTTATAAACAAAATAAAAGGCTGTTACTGTAGGCTGGCTTGAGTCCTGGCTAATCTATGGAGAAGGGAAGCTTGTGTCCCTCACCAACTCTTCTGTGTCCATGATTTTGTGTCTTTAAAGGGACCATTACCCTTTAGCTACCCTCATTCATGTTGCTTGTTGCTCACAGGTAGGTCAGGGCTCTTGGGAGCCTCACTTCTTTCCTGAGATTAAAACAAAGCACTTGCTGTGACCCCAGACAAGGCCCTGATAAACTGGTCCTCCCTAAAGTGCTGGCAGGTGAACCAATGGTGAGTGTGCACCTAACAGGGTGACCCTGGCTTGACACCGTTGCTCTCTATTACATCACCAGGATTCTGAGTGCCAAATCCATACAGTTGCCTGCCATCTGATGTGGTGGGGCTGCTTACCATACACAGTTCTGGCCAATCGGGAGACTGGCTTCCTGTCCTCTCCACCTTCCCCAGGTCATTCCCTGTCCCCTCCAGGAGCCATGCTCAGATGTGTCCCCTTCCTTCTTTCCCCTCCTGTCCCCCTCCCCCTCCCCCCAACCCTCAGGGAAGAGAGGAAAGAAGAGCAATGAGTGAGAGAGGTGCTGCTGTAGCTTTTCTGCCACTCGAAATGTTGAGGCAATAATATTGGAAAGATTTTAGTTTACTGGAACCTACGTTCAGTATTTGACTGTAGCAGTTTGTCCAAACAATTCACTGGCATGCTGGGGGTATTTATAAGCATCACCAATTTCCAAGTGTTAAGGTATAGGCATTCTTAGCAGTTGCTGGTCATTGCTATTTCATGCTAGGCGCATTTCATGCATTGTCTAATGAAATCCTTAACAGTTACCCTAAATGATATTTCAATTATCTTGCCTCCTTGTATTTAAGAACGGAAATAATTCTGTTTACGTGAACTCTTTTCATGGACCTATAGGGATTAATCAGGCAATGAAAAGGGCCTTTTAGGTACCTTTCTTTAATGTGGGCTCTCCTTTCTCATTAGTAGGGAAAGCAACGTTATTTGCTCCCGCCTGGAACCTTTGTTTTTGGCCCTCTGGTGCTGAGACAGGAAATGGGCCCTCACGGGGTCCCAGTGGTAGTTGCACACTGTATACGTGGAGGGCACGTGTCTCATCTGTACTCTGCCTGTGTTACAGCATCTCGGGCGGCATCCGTACCTACCTGATGAATTTTGCTCATCACCTTTAACAGACAGCAGTTACATTTTCTTGCTGCAGTTAATTTTGCCGGAGAGGCCATTCATAAGGCAGATGATGTTCATCTCTTCCACTTCATTTTTAGTAGCTTCCTTGTGTCTGTTTGGTATCTTAAAAGAAGAATGTGGTCTTGTCATAAGTTGCCATCCCTCTCCACATATAACGGGCCCAGTCTGGTTTCCAGGGAGAAGTGTGCATGACTCAGATGTCAGGAACCCAGGAGGCCATATTTCAGCTGTGAAGAAATATCTGCTTCCTGCACCTGTTGAGGTACATTATAATTACAATTGTTTATAAGTGCCATATCTTATCTTTCTTTCAGCAAATTGCACAGTTCTTGCCAAAATAAATGCCATTATCTAAGTGGTGTGTGTGTGAGAGAGACAGATGGTAAAACATTTCCAAAAAGGAGAAAGCTCTGCTATGGCATTGATATTCCTTCCTTCCTTAGTGATAATTAGGCTATCCCAAGAAGTTCCGTATCTTTGAAATAAAATGATTCTCCCTGGGGTTGATTTTTTGCCTAACTCCATTCCATTAAAATTTCTTTCTTTATTTTGAAGCTTTGGATATGCAGGCAGAAATGTACCCAATAGAAACAAACTGAATTGTGTTTAATTTATAGAAAAGGGAAGAAAAACAAAAAGTCAGTCTTTATGTCAGCTCCAAGGCATCAAGGGTCAGATGGCCTTTCTAGTTTTATGAGAATTTGTACTACTGATTTTTATATAGTCTTGTTTTTTTTAGATGAACAGATCTCGGGGGGAAATTGAGTTCCAATGGCATTTCACTGTGATCCCTCTCAAGCTCAAATCAGTTCTCCAACCCAAGGACAACTTGTCTCTGGTTTGCTGCCCTGTGAACCCTCAGCTCGCTTTCCCAGAAGTCACGTGTTTACGATGAGTCAGTGCTTTCCCGCAGGGAGAGCTCTATGTGCTTAATGCAGACTATAGAAACCTAACCTGTAAACGTTCTAACTGTTCATTGTATTATTATTTTTACTTTCTTGCTTGAAGCTTATTCATACTTTTTGATTTGATAGAAATAAAGTTGTTTTCTGCTTATAACTAGTGAGTTCATTTAACATTTGGATAGCTTTTTACACTTGACCATCTACATCTTCACACAGATATCCTCATCCGTGCCACTGCAAGCACTCCATTATCCTCCAGCTTACCGATTGGGAAAATCGAGAACACGGTGTTGCCTGGATAAGTTGGTGGCAGGGCAAGAGTCTGAACCCGAGAGTCAGGATCCCCAGTCTCATTTTCTTTCCTGCTGCGCCATGTTGCCTCATTTTGTGTACCCTCTAGCACCTTGTTTGTCCAGCACTTTATTTTTCACATGTTCATGGACATGAAAACCTTATTTGTGAAACAACTGGATCATGGGAGCAGGTCACATCATCACATCCTACACAGATTCTATGCTATAGATTAGGAGACTGGATCAAAGTATGTGACTCTTAGGTTACAGCGTTTGGGGCTACCAGCAAAAGAAACCTCAGCATGCCCATCTGGTGGGGTTGGTTGGCGCTGGGGAGGAAATAGAGCCTCCACCGGAGGAACCCCCTACAATAGGGAGGGAGCAAAGCACTGGCTTCTCCCAGCCTCACACTCCCTTTTCTCCCGTGGGTGCAGAAGCAGCTGACAGAAGCCTGAAAACGTGTTCTACAGGTTTCCACGCCCCTGGAAAGTTGAACTGGATATGATGGCAACGTGGTGAATTGTATTAAAGTTCAAGCCCTTTTTGTTGTTGTTAATCCTCTCCCGAGGATACTTTTTCATTGATTTTTAGAGGGAGTGGAAGGGTGGGGAAGAGACCAAGAAACATCCATGTGAGAGAGACACATGGATTAGCTGCCTTCCCCATGCTCCCCAACTAGGGCAGGGATTGAGCCTGCAACCAAGGTACCTCTCCTTGATTGGAATCAACCCCAGGATCCTTCAGTCCGAATGCTGATGCTCTATCCACTTAGCCAAATCTCTGGGGCACGCCATTCGTATTTTAAGAGGATTTTTTATCTTTGCCCCATTGGCTTCTTGCTGGTGCATATGATTTGCTTTAGCCAATGGAATGTGAGAAGAAGTGAAGTGTGTCACTTTGAAGCAAAAGCCTAGGAGTTTTAAGAGCCATAATGTGGACACAAATCTCATTCTGCAATGAGCCTGGCAGGCTCATGGGGCTTTTCTTTCAACTCGGATCTTAAAGTGAAGACATGGAGTCTGGGATGCAGCCGATCCACAATGCAAAAATAAACCTTTGCTTTTATAAGCCACTGAGATTTGGTACCACAGCATA